CATTTAGTCTCGCGTTGACGCGAAGCACGCGAGACTCTGGCGAGGCGTCCTCTAAATACTCTTCATCCATGCTACAACGATCTGTAAAATCCGATTCATTAACGTCGCCATGATATTATATACGTCATCGTAATACGGATCTTCTTTTCGTTCAATATCTTCGCTTTCGGTTGATGGTGCTTCCTCTGGTTCGGGTTGTATCGTTGGTAATGTTTATTTGTGCTCTCTTGTATTATTAAACTTGTGGTTCAGTGTTCCTAGCTCAGCAACGTATTTATCTCAATTTCAGTCAATTCCCTCCGGTCGTTCACTTCCACGGTTTATAGTGGTTCTATATAAAATTTGTCTTTGCCGATATTTCTCATTAGTTTGTATTGTTTAGTTTTCAATCATTTGTTATTACATTGCTGTTTGTGTTGTTCAAATCTTGTGTCTGAGCCTTTAAAAGTGCCCCCTATGTATTTATCATTACTCTCTGTGGTTTTGATCATATAAATAAACCCAGTTTGTTTTCTTTGTTCTTCTAACGGTGCCATTATCAATCTAATTATAATAAAGTAAATAGTCTTTAGCACACTTTCTATAGAATATATTCTCACTCACCGAACCCGAGTATTACTTAAGCATTCAGAACAAGTCGCAATGTATTTAACATAACAATAAGAATGCTTACCAGTGGATTCGCAACGCTTGAAACCATCAATGTCTTTGACTTGCTTACAACGATAACACTTCTTAGTAACAACATTATTTGTTTCAGTGCATGGTTCAAAATCAACTAATATCCTATTTTCTCTTATTGGCATTTTTATTATTATAAACATTTTTCCATAATGAAATATTATGAAAATTTGCACCGGGAGCGACTTATCGTCTCTCGCGATTGCGCTACACGCAACCGGTTCCTTAAGATTTAACGACACTAACTACGAACTAATGTCATTTCCAAACTCTTATGGTTTGCCTATGAACCTGTAGAACCTGCTAGGCACACGGGGGCATTGGCTCACTTCCTTCTTCTGTTTTCATTGGGGGCGTTTTTTATGCCAAGATGGCCGGTCATTCTAGACTAGACTTTAATCCATTGTATTTAAACTATTCTTCAAAACATTTACATCTTTGTCTATCCTTTCAACATCCTCCTCCACTTTTTCTAATCTCGCTTCTGGCGTAGGTTTTCGTGATCCCCACCCAGTGCTCGCTGTATCAACACCTTCATTATCTTGTGAGTTTATTTTGAATATGGCGTTTTCATCGGGTGTGATTCCTCTTCCCATCTTCCAACTACTTCTATCTTCAGCTATTGTTTTACCTTCGTTGTTTATCGTAGTTTCTTTGTGAAAAGTCTTTTTTCTACATTTACAAGGTAAGCAGTTTAATCCATCGGTGTTTAAGTGGAAGCCACCTTCGTTAGATTCCCTATGATTGTCGCTCATTATACGTTCTTGGGTTTTTGAAATATTCAAGAACTGCCTTAAGCAATTCTAAAGAAGCGGCGCAACACCTTTTAAGCTTGGTATTTTGTATTACAATTTTCTCAATTTCTTCAATATCATCTATCGTGTCTAAATACTTCTCCATTATATTAAATCATATATAGTTTTCTCTGCTTAAATAACGGATATACCAATTGTTAAACAATGCAAAAATAAAGAATACACATTCACACAAAGTAAATACGTAGTAGCACCAAAACTACCTGCTTCTGTGATCATTTCCGCTCCTCGCGGTTCTGGTAAAACTCAGTTGCTTCAGTTTATGATCTTGGATATGAATAGACATTGTTTTAGTCGTATATACATCTGGTCGCCTTCAATAAACGTAGACAGTATTTGGACACCTGTAAAATGATACAATAAGAACGAAATGAAAGTGGACACGGAAAAGAGACTTGCTTCTTTGAAGAGTATTTTCCAAATGAGTTAGAAAAGGTGATAAACACACGTCATTAAGCAATAGAGCATCAGAAGAAAAACGATCACACGAAGTGATTTTCTTGCCTTCTTGTTATTGACGATATGGCGGACAATGAAAAATTTAGCAGACATTCAAGTTTGTTGAATCGACTTTACGTGAGAGGTAGACATAACGCCCTGACCGTGATAACAAGTGTTCAAGCCTATCGAGCACTCTCAGGAATTATACGGGTCAACAGTCGTCAGCTGTTTTCTTCAAGACCAGAAACTATAAAGAAAAAGAGACAACGGTGGAAGAATTATCGGCGATGCTTACTAATAGGAAGATGCTCGCAGATGCCAAAAACATAGCCGAAGCACAGAGACTACTCTTGGAAATCTACAATGAAGCAACAAGCGAACCCTATAGCTTTTTATACTGTAATTTAACAAAACGTAACATAGACGAGGTTTTTGTGAAAAACTTTACACATCGTATACAAGTTACCGACGGTGATGATTAATAATACTACTCAATAATATTGCTAACTATCAAAACAAACTAGGATTACAAAAATGTAGATGAGTAAAACCGAGGCAAGGACATGTCTTCTTCTTTTTCAATGCTTCAACTTTTTTCTTCCTCGTCTAATTTGTTCAACAGATCTTTCATCGCTCTTAAGAGTATATCGGTTTCCGAAATGTCTTTACTTTTTGGCTTAAGCAGTTGCAGGTAGCATACTCAGAGTGAAAATCGCTCATATATAACAACATATATTAATTTTAATCGCTATCGCTAGTATTTTTCTTTCTTCTTCAGCTTTGTTATTTCCCCTTTCAGGGTAGCCATTTCCTTTTTCATTGCTTTAAATACATCTTTCATTTCTTCGTTTTCATTCAAAGCATGTTGTAAAGCACTCCATTGGGGTGGTCATAGAATAGTCAAACCTCAAATATCCGTCTCTTCCCTCCCTAACGATATTACTCCATTCTTTGAGGAAACCTTTATGATCCATCATATCGTTGGCAATAAAACCACAAAACGGCCTGTCGCCGTATTTTCCTGCATCAACAAACTTATATGTTTTCGGGACAATGTATTTTACTAACTCTACTGCCTTCTTTGAATTGATTTCTTTTATGTCTTTCTTCAGTCGTTTCGAGTTGTACTAGGGTAGTGTTTTGGGGTTGATATCTTAAGATGGATTGTCCTAGGGTGGGGGGGTAGCATTTTGTATGAGGCGGACTTGGCCGATTTTTGGGTGGTGAGATCGGGCTGTGGATCAATGGTTGCTGCTGGGGAGGGCAGTGAGCGGCCTTTGAAGCGCTTTTGGGGTGCGGCTCGGAAGGGGTTGGTGAAGAAGCTGGCAAGGCCTGTTTAAGTTTTTGAGGGGAAGGTGGTGCGATTTTGGTGGGCAAGGGCTGTTGGCTTGAGCTCGCGCGGGTGTGTCCTTGAGTTTGCTCGGGTGTGGTGTTGTGGTGGCTGGGAGATACCTCTAGAACCTTGGGACTTGCAACCCTTAACCCTAAACCCTTAACCAAATTCTACAAGGAACCCCTTGCCCAGTTTGGCTAATAATACCACCTTAGAGAATATAGATGGGGTAATTGGTTATTCCTAGAACTGTATTGATAATGGGGAAGTAGTAGTGATATTTTGGGTGGGGTGTAGGGGGAGTATAGGAATAATCGTCTAATGGGTTGACTGGTGGTATTATTACCCAAACTGGGCAAGGTATGTTCGAACTAGTTTAGGGTTGAGGGTTTAGGGTGTTTTTTGCTTGGTACACATCTCGATTTGTTTTTAGGGCTTAGGGTTTAGGATTCTGCAAGCACTAAGCAATATAACCCTGTTCGAACCACATGCTGACCCCGCTGGCGCCTGTCAGCTGCGCGTAAGCCGCCGCCCCGTGGGGGGCTGCCCCAAAGGCCAGTACCCGATCCTTGGGTTAGGGCTTCTTGGGCTTTTGGGGTTTGGGGGGCTTTTGGGTTTTGGTGGGCTTTTGGATTTATCCCTGAACCCTAAACCCCTAAACCCTATGGGTTTCGGAGCTGCGGTCTCATTGTCGAGGGGCTCTGGACCTTGTTTCGGGGTCTAGGCCTTGCTGTGATGCGCGGAATCTTCCCCAAGGGCAGGTATGGGCTGGTGGGATGCAAGACTTTCTTCATCTTTCTTCTCCCACCCCGCCCTCCGTGGTGACAAGTCAGCCCAAATTGATTTGCTTCTACTGCTTTTTTAAGCGCGGTTCGGTACTTACACCTCTTGGGAATTTGGGCTGCATGAGCTTCTGGGGGACCTTGGATTGTACCCAGCCGTTGTGATGCTGGAGACTGAGCATCGCCAACGCACATTGGGTTTTGGGTGGGTAAGCTTAGGTAATCCACTCACCCATCCCCACCTTGGGGCCATATATCCATACATCAGGCTGCAAGGCCATGACTTCTAGGGGGAGGGTGTAGGGTTTGGGGTTTAGGGTTTAGGGTTTGGGGTTTAGGGTTTAGGGTTTAGGGATTGGCCGACTGGCCCCATCGCCATGCAACCCAGGCTTCTGCACAGGTTCTCTCCCTGAAGTGTCCCGCCACATGGCCTCCCGCGGGGTTCACATAATTTCAACAGGGTCTTGGGGGCTATTAGTATATATATATATATGTATATATATACACCATAAGGGAACACTATTAGTAATTATTCCGACCCTACATTAATTAAAGAGGTCTTTGCTTTGGAGTGCCGGAAGGGGGGGGGTTGATGCGGCGGGGACAGTACCACTACATTGGAAAAGGGTCAGATTGACTTGAACAGGGTTTAGGGTTCAGGGTTTAGGGTTTAGAGTTTGAGGTTGGGGTTTCGGGGGTTTGGCTTTAGGGCCCCTAGTACTTTTGTTTGCTACGTGGTTATGGGGTCGGCAGCCTAACACTGAGATCCGACTCCTGGCCCTTCGCTGGGGTTTCGGGTTTCAGGATGTTTCAGGGTTCAGGTTTCAGGGTTCAGGGTTTAGGGTTTAGGGTTTAGGGTTTAGGGTTTAGGGTTTAGGGTTTAGGGTTTAGGGTTAGCCGTAAGAGGTCAAAAACAACTTGTAGCACCAGACATACGAAAAGGCCCTCTTACACCGGACAGAAGAAAAGGCCTCTCCATGCTTGGACATCTGACCGGCTCTTGCCCACGATCTCAGGCCACTTGGGCCATCCGCCTTGGTGTGCAACCCTGCTGCAGAGTCTAGGAGTCGTAGAGTCTGGGAGTCTATGAGTCGAATCATCTAAGAGTCTAAGTGTCTGAGACTCTAAGAGTCTAGAATACGAGTTTGAAAGAGCTTGCGGTTGCCCTCTGGTCAGGTACTGCCAGGTTGCCACTACCAGTCTCCTGCAGATGCCGGAGGTCCGCGTCGTTGAAGCGGTCCTGCATGATGGAGAAGAACTCCGCAAGCTGATGGTCCATCATCAGGAGCCGCGGGTGCGAGCACATCGTCTCCCGCGCCGCCATGGTGCCTAGGTTTTCCTCCACCACCCGGAAGCTTTCTCGCAGGGTCGTGGAGCCGTGGGTCAGGAGCTGCGGCGTGCCCTCCAATATGGATGAAATGGAGGTGCGGGCCAAGAGCTCGCGAATCGTTGCACAGCGATCCTTCATGAGTGGAACTGTTACAGGGGCCTTCAAGCCACCCAGGCTCTTCAGGATCTCCCGCGCCGCGGTCTCCGAGGTGATCTCTGCGAGCACGTCCACCTTGTGCTCATAGACCCAGAGCGCGATGTCCTCGGGGGTACCCTGCTGGCACAGCCTGGGCCAGCTCGTGCGAGCACTTCCCCGGAATGTCAGCTTCTGAAATGCAGCCTGTGGCGACGGCGATGCCCCGGCCACCAAGACCTCCCGAGCCATGTCATCGCCCAGCTCCGCACTCAGCTGCTGGAGTAGGGCCTCGACGTGGCCGCCTGCTGCCAGGAGTGCCGGCTCGCGAAGCAGCAGGGGGCGCACCACGTCGGGGCGCTCCGGGGCAGTTTGCTTGAAAAAGAAAATCGCGAAGAAGTCAGGTCCACATCCAGGCACTGTGAGCACCTCCCCAGGCTCCAGGGTCTGTGCATAAGCCTGGATGCATTTTACCTGTGTACCTGCTGGCGACACGACGGCCGTGGCCACCTTCTGGGAGATCGCCTCCCAGCCCTCTTGCAGCCAGCCCGGCTTTGGCAAGTCCTCGGCTGCCATCGGCGCTTGCTTCGATGGAGATGTGGACGGGGGGGCGCTGGTCTTGGAAGGAGGCCGCTCCTTGCTACTGTTTCGCTTGGTGGAGCTTCGCGGTTCCACAGGCAGCTCTTCCTCTTCGCACCTGGGAGTTGGGAAGAGCAGGAGAGCCACCCGGAGCTGTACCGTGGACTCGATGCGCATCTGTGTCTCTGCTGGGCTGCAATGCTGCGAGCAGGGCGGCCCTTTGAAGAGAGTGTAGCCTGTGTAGCCGAGCTCTCCAGGGGACACAAACTTATACATGACCGGCTTTTGCTTCGGCAGGAGTGTTGCATCCACGTCTGCGGCCTCTGCCGCGTCCGCCAAGTAAAGCTCCTCATCTTGCACAGGCTTCGCCATGAGGCAGGGCCGTGTGCCCTGCACCAAGGCGCAGATCTGCGAGTGGACAAATACCAGTGGGGGTAGCTTGCAAGGTCCCAAGGGGATCGGGATCTCGGCCAGCCCTCGTGGATACGTCCGCGCCCAGACCTGCATCTTTACAGGAGACTTGAAGTTGCATCGAAGCCGCTCCAAGTTTCTTTCGTGGGTAAGAAGGGGAAAAGGGGGGCGTGGAATTGAGAAGAATTGAGACGTCGAGTCGCCAGAAGTCCCCAAAGCACCCAAACCACACTCCGAACCCGCAAACTTCCCACAGCCTGCTGTGCCAATGGCGGCGCACCGGCGATCTTGGGGAAGACCTTGACCACGGAGCCTTCGGGCATGAGCCGGAAATCGGCCTTTGTCAGCACCTCTGGAGGATGGGTTTTTGAAGGCTATTTGAAGGGCAGTGGAGGGGGTGGTGGTAGAGTCATGGGGCTTGAGGGTTGCGGGTGGAGAAGGTCGGAGTTCTCCTGGCGGGTGGAGAAGGACGGACTTCTCCGTCCGAGCGTACAGTCGTTCGTCAACGACTCGCTCGCCCAATGCCCTAAGCCCCCCTCATGCACGGAACTGAGCATCCCACGGCGCATCTTTGAGGTGGCACTCGCCACCTATAGACCCTAAACCTAACCCCCCCCCCACCTCCTTGTGAGAGCTGGAAGCACCGTCCTCCTCGCAGAAGAGCATGCACACCTCTATGGGCTCCCAGGCATGCAGCTGGACCTTGGATATTTGCATCATTATTTTCCTGTCTTTAATCTTGCTGTTCTTGTTCAGCTACAACTGCAGCTTCGACCATCGTCAGTACCCTCTTCATCCTTGTCACTTTTCCTACAAAAGGCTCGAGGTTGTTCGACTTTGGGATGATGTAGGGGTTGCACTCCCCCCTCCCAGCCCCTCCCCACCCTGAAAAACCAAGCTCTGCAGTTGGGTTGGAAATATTGGGGCTTTGGGTTGGGGGTTTAGGGTTTAGGGTTTAGGGTTTAGGGTTTAGGGTTTAGGGTTTAGGGTTTAGGGTTTAGGGTTTAGGGTTTAGGGTTTAGGGTTTAGGGTTTAGGGTTTAGGGTTTAGGGTTTAGGGCGTGCCAGACGGGAGCGCGCTTTGGGAGCGCGCGGTAGTCTGCAGACCTACCCACCCCAAGACCGCCCACTTACAACTCTCAAGGAGTTAAGACCTTTTTATTTTTTTACAAAGCATCACATGAGTCAGCACTCACGCCCTTTCTGGGGATTTGCACAAGGTGCGTGGACCAGGCGCAAAGCTGCAGCAGACGGAAACGAGGCAGGGTCCGTGAAGACAGCTTGGGCTGGCGCGAAGGGGCTAAGGGATGGACCAGGAACAGAGAAAGGCAGCGATGGCACGAAGGGGCTCCAGCCAAGAAGAACACACAGTGAACAGCTTGGGTTGGGCAGAGCGCCACGGAAGCAGGGCTGGAGCCAGAGGGAGAGCGCCCCGAAACAGGACACAAACTGGTGCGCGGACAGCTTGGCTTGGCGCAAGGGGGTAAGATGACTCGAACAGGCCAGAGGCCTGGCCCTGGCCCTGGCCCTGGCCCTGGCCCTGGCCCTGGCCCTGGCCGGCCCTGGCCCTGGTCCTGGCCCTGGCCCTGGCCCTGGCCCCCCGCCCCCTCCGCTTGCTCCGCCCGCTCCGCTCCCCCACCCCCCCCACCCCCCCCCCCACCCCGCCACCCGCCCCCGCACCCCCAGTGCATGCCCGCCCCCTCCGCTTGCTCCGCCCGCTCCGCTCCCCCACCCCCCTTCCCTCCCACCCTGGCCCTGACCCTGGCCCTCCTGGCCTGGCCCTGGCCCTGGCCCTGGTTCTGGCCCTGGCCCTGGTCCCCTGCCCCTGGCCCTGGCCTGGTGCCCTGACCCTGGCCCTGGGTCTGACTCTGCCTGACCCTGACCGGCCCTGGCACTGGCCCTGGCCCTGGCCCTGGCCTGACCCTGATCCTCCTGACCGTGCGCCAGTTTTGCGGCTCTGGCCCTGGCCTGGCCGGGCCAGGGCCAGGGCCAGCCAGGGCCAGGGCCGATTTCAGGGCGCAGGGCCAGGGTGAGAGGCCAGAACCAGGGCCTGGTCTTCAGGACCATTTTTGGCCAGACCCTGCCTGCCCCAACAAAACGGCGCCTGGCCCAGCGGACGGGGGGTGAGGGACCAAGGGGTCTCAAGGGGCCGTCCCAGGGGGCCCTCCAATGCAGGACCCAACCAGGTGCGCGGACAGCTTGGGTTTAGGGTAATATAAAAAAAAAAGTGACAACTGCTGACTCGGCCTGTGCCTGCCTGGAGCCTGGAGGCCAGCTCGGTCGCCCGCCTGGGGCTCCCTCGCAGGGTCTCACTGAGCGCTCGACCAGCGCCCGCCTACCCCAAAAGACCAGAGAGTGGGGTGGCGGGCGGGTTTAGGGTTTAGGGTTTAGGGTTTAGGGTTTAGGGTTTAGGGTTTAGGGTTAGGGGTTTGGGGAGCTTGGGCCGTGCGTTAAAACTGAACGAGAAGGGTTCAGGAGGGCCGGAAAGCTCCGGTGCACTGCTCTTAATCCTAAACTACTATTTGCTCAAGAACTTCCCAAGAATAGAAATTATAATCCTTGTGTCTTGCCCTCATAAGGAAGAAGGTCATTTTTTGGGGGGGAGGGAGTTCTTGGGCAAATCGTAGTAAACCCACGCAATACTGAAGAGCACCCCAGCAGCGGGAGTGTTGTCTGGTATCGTTGCTGGCACCTGGAGGAACAGCCACCGCCGGATGTGCGCGAAGTCGGCGGTGTCCAGAAAGGTGATCTTGCCTGAGCAAAAGGTTTAGGGTTTAGGGTTTAGGGTTTAGGGTTTAGGGTTTAGGTTTTTTTTTGCCACCCGCCTAGCTGACACTCAGGCCACGTTGCAGGGACTAATACCGGTCATACTGTTCCTTCAAGTTCTGGGGCGCTTTTAAAGGTTTAGGGTTTAGGGTTTAGGGTTTAGGGTTTAGGGTTTAGGGTTAGGGTTGAGAACCAAACCTAAACCCTGAACCCTAAACCACACAAGAGACTCTGGATTCAAAGATGCCTGGACCTAAACGGGGACCCCCCTAATAGAACAGCACGGAGACTTACGGGGTGCAGAGTTTTAAGGCTCAAGCACTTAGGTTCAGCGAATGTGTTTTCTTCGGATTCGAGGTGCTGAAAGAGTCAAGGTCGTAAGTCGAGAGGAGACCTATACCTACGGTAGTTATGTATGTATGTGTATAGATGAATGTATGCGTATACGTATGCATACGTAGGTTTGTGCAAGAATAAAAGGGTCCAAGCCACTCTTCTCGCGGAAGACGGGGTCCTGCTTCAGCAGGTGCCCCAGCAAACGCGGACCGGTGTCGGCGCCCGGCAGCCACGCGACGTGCAGGGCCACGCGCACCTGGGCTGAAGGGCCGACTGCAGAAGAAAAGCACTTGGTTTAGAGTTGAGGGTTTAGGGTGAGGACGTTTTGCTTGTACTGACAGTCCTTAATAGGGACTATGGTAGGGGGTACTATAACCTTATTCAGGACTGTTAGTATAAGGGGGAGCATCCCAAGTTAGGGTTTAATTGGGGTTAATTAGGGTTTAGGGCTTCGGGCTCCGATAGTACTTTGGAAGCATATGGGTGGTTGTCAAAATTATGGTCCCTTGTTGGATCCCTATCATAATACGGCACCTAATATTGGGGCACCCAAAAAGGGACCATAATTTTGACCATAACTTTGACAACCACCCATATAGAAATTCATGGCACTTCATTGGCTAGCGCAGTTGGGTGCCAACAGTCTGTTGAGCTGCGTTGCATAGCCGAAGCTCCAAGATTCCGAAAGCCCAAGCAAACAATGGACCTTGTGCCCCTTGGAGATACAAAATACAAAGTGCAGCTCAACGCAAAGCCCAGGCACTAGGTCAAAGGCATGCCGCAGGTCCTGACGTTCACTCGGCGAATCACACACCAGCTATACCGACCCTGCATCAGGGATCCCACCCCACCCAGGAGGATTACCAGGGGCCTACTATAGGGAAAGAACGGGGGCAAGGTCTTTCTTGCTACTAAGGGGTTCCTGGTCCCCGCACTTCGATGCTTTAGCTCTGACATTCCTAGGGGTGCCACGTGCACAGTGCGCACAGCTCAGCTTGCGAATACCGCCGAGCCCCGAACCCCTAACCCCCCTAAACCCTAAACCCGAACCCCAAACCCCAAACCCTAAACCCTAAACCCTAAACCCTAAACCCTAAACCCTAAACCCTAAGCCCCAACTCAAGGTCTCCTGTGGCGAGTATAGGCACAACCAGGGCCCCAGTGGGCGGCCCCCGCCTGGAGGGTCACAGAAAGCGCGAGTTGTTGTTAGGGTTCTGAGGGTTTAGGGTTTAGGGTTTAGGGTTTAGGGTTTTAGGGTTTAGGGTTTTTGGATTTTTCGACTCTCGCACTCCCTGAAGCAGGCAAGGATCCTTTGGGGTTTTAGGGTTTAGGGTTTAGGGTTTCGGGTTTAGGGTTTAGGGTTTAGAGTTTAGGGGGCCCATAGTTTAAGATTCCACCTGAAACCCCCTCCCCCCTCCCCCCACCGATGCAGTCGACGTAGCGGTCGCTGGGCCAGAGGCCTGGTACCTCCGCGGTTGGCACAAAGCACCCATGACCCCACCGCCTCGCACTGTAACCCTAGTTAAACCCGAAACCAGGGTTCAAGGGTCTGAGGTGAGGGCTTGCAGGCTTCAGGGGCAGATCCCGGATGGTCTAGGTTCTAGATGTGGCTCAACCCCGCCAAACCCTTTTCAAAAACGCGTAGTGTAATGTTTAGGTTTGAGAGCTTCGGGTTTTAGGGGAAACCCTTTACAACCCGATCATCTCAAAAACGCTTAATGTTCAGAGTTTAGGGTGGCTTAGGGGGAAGCCCTATAAGAACCCTAAACCCTAAACCGGACCCTAAACCCTAAACCCTAGACCCTAAACCTAAACCCTAAACCCTATAAAAACCCCCGATCATCCTCTCCTGGGTCTTGTGCTTCTCGGCTGGGAAGTGCCAGTCGCCCTCGGGGATCTGATCGGGCGACTTGGCCTTGGAGGCTGCCCAGCCCAGGATCTCGGGATCGCAGTAATCCTTGGCGTCGAGGGTTTAGGGTTTAGGGTTTAGGGTTTAGGGTTTAGGGTTTAGGGTTTAGGGTTTAGGGTTTAGGGTTTAGGGTTTAGGGTTTAGGGTTTAGGGTTTAGGGTTTATTTTCCCATCCGTGTCGCAAGGGTTTAGGGTTTAGGGTTTAGGGTTTAGGGTTTAGGGTTTAGGGTTTAGGGTTTAGGGTTTCGGGTCCAGGGTTTCGGGGCCGCTCTGGCCATCCCGAATCTAGCTTCGGGCTCTGTGGAGTTGAGAGAGTTTGATTTGGGCCTTTTATTTGGGCCTTTATGGTTTAGGGCCCCCCGAAGCCCTACATAAGCCCACTTTCAGGGGCCCCAAAAGGCCCGACAAGACGCCTGCTTCTTCATCCCCTCGGTGTAGTTGGTCGCGAAGGTCCAGCAGGGATGCTGCTGATCTGACCCGACCACCCCCTTCTGGCAGTAGATCAGATAGACATCCCGAGCTCTGGAGCCTAAGGCTTCCCAGGTGAAGGTTTTAGTTAGGGTTTAGGGCATGAGAGGGCTTTCAGGGTCTACTCTAGGGTTTTTGGTAGGCTTTGGCTTTTAGAGGATACGCAAACCAGGGCGCTGAGGGTTCGAGGGCTCCCTGCCAGACGACTCAGAAAAGAAAAACTTGGGTTCCTTGGGTTTAGGTGAAAGGTTTTGTAAAACCCCTAAACCCTAAACCCTAAACCCTAAACCCTAAACCCTAATTTCTAAACCCTAATTTCTAAACCCTAGTTTCTAAACCCTAATTTCTAAACCCTAAACCCTAAACCCTAAACCCTAAACCCTAAACCCTAAACCCTAAACCCTAAACCCTAAACCCTAAACCCTAAACCCTAAACCCTAAACCCTAAACCCTAAACCCTAAACCCTAAACCCTAAACCCTAAACCCTAATACCCTAAACCCTAAACCCTAAACCCTAAACCCTAAACCCTAAACCCTAAACCCTAAACCCTAAACCCTAAACCCTAAACCCTAAACCCTAAACCCTAAACCCTAAACCCTAAACCCTAAACCCTAAACCCTAAACCCTAAACCCTAAACCCTAAACCCTAAACCCTAAACCCTAAACCCTAAACCCTAAACCCTAAACCCTAAACCCAAGCCAACAAAGACCCAGGAACCTAGGTGCTCCATCGCCTCTGCCGGCTTTCTCCAGACTGGTCTGTCATCGACTTGGGCGCCGCCAACCAGGAAGTATTCCCCCACCTGAGCTGGTGTGGGACGATTAGGGGTTTAGGGTTTAGGGTTTAGGGTTTAGGGTTTAGGGTTTAGGGTTTAGGGTTTAGGGTTTAGGGTTTAGAGGTCTATGGGGTCTAGGATCAAGGCTTTGCTGGGAGCGGTCGCACCGCTAGAGTCAAAAGGCCGACCTGCAGTACCTAGAGCCAAAATGCCGGCGCTTGATCTCGGATGTCTTGCGCAAGCAAGGAAGGCGTTGCCCCTGGACCTTTCAAGCCTTGAAATTCTGGGACCAGGGAACCTTTTTGGACTGAGACCCCCAACCCTTATACCGTTGCAACCCGAAACTCTCAACCTCACACCCCATAAACCCCAAACCCTAAACCCTAAACCCTAAACCCCAAACCCTAAACCCCAAACCCTAAACCCTCAACCCCTAAACTCTCTGTAGAAATCACGCCGGGCCGCCATGTACTCGCGGCAGAACTGCCGGGCCACCACCTTCACGGATGGGGGCGCCGTCGTCTGGCCGAGCAGGAACAAGCCATCCTTCAGGTTCCCAAAGAAGCCCGCCAGGGCCTCTCAGAAAGACAGAGGGTTTTTGGGGGGCTCTTTAGGCTCTTTAGGCTCTTTGGGCTGTTTAGGCTCTTTAGGCTCTTTAGGCTGTTTAGGCTGTTTAGGCTCTTTAGGCTGTTTGGTCTGCTTAGGCTGTTTAGGCTGCTTAAGCAGTTTAGGGTTTCGGGCAGCCATGTTCTTGTGGTGTTTTCTAGGGGGTTTTCCTGAAAACTGTCGGCCAAGTCCTTAGGGAGGTCAGAGGGCTTTGAAAAGGGGTCAGAGTTCAGGCTACGGAAGCCGCCCTCTGATCCGGTTATGACAACCTGGTGGGGTGCAGAGGGTAGGCGTTTTGAAGGTTTTGTGGTCCCTGCCCTGTGTCTCAGCAGCTCCCGGCTGCGTGATGTCAGCGGAAACGACGGCGGATCGCGGATGGATGTGGGTTTGAAGGACACGCTCGCGAACAACACACACACACACACAAACACACATAAGCCAACACAAACACGCTCACAGGTACAACATAACATAAGAACGAAATCTTGTAGTAATAAACAATGAAATAAATGGAAGATGAAATAAAGTACTCATGTAATAACATGACCATACAGTACAGTAATATAATAGCATAAGGATAAACTAATATAAAGGTAAAAAATAATACAGTAAGACAAGCATATGGCAACAGCACAGCAGAACAAGATAAGAACATATGAATATCAAAATATAGTTGTATAGGAATATATGAATATCGAAATATAGAAACATAATAATTTAACAATACAATGATATCATACTGTGTGAATATATTAACAATAGTATATTGGGATGTTCCCCCTTATGCTAACAGTCCTTACTGGGGATTGTAATGGGGGATACGATGATCCCTATTCAGGACTACTAGTATAAGGGTGAACATTCCAAATAATATAAGAGTATGACAGGAGCATAGGCAGAAGCACCCACAGACCACAAAGCAAAAAAACAAACAATAAATAAAAACATATTAACATATCTAAAAAGCTGATGATGATGATGATGATGATGATGATAATAGTAAAATAATAGTTATAATAATTATGATAATGATAATGATGATGATCAGAATAATAATAAATGATGATGATGATTAAAATTATTATTATTAGTATGACGATGATGATGATGATCATCATTATTAGAAACAGCAAGGCGCCTGCAGCGCGCTCCGAAAGCTCGAAGCGGCCTCCACCTTTGCAAGCTTAGCGCTTCGGCTTCAGGGTTTTAGGGGCTTAGGGTTTTGGGTTTAGGGTTTAGGGCTTAGGGCTTAGGGTTTAGAGTTTAGGGCTTAGGGCTTAGGGTTTAGGGTTTAGGCGGTCGGCATTGGGCATTTCAGCCTGAGGGGCCTTGTTCTTTTTTCAGGTGAAAAGGCTTGAAAATCTGACTGTCCTGGTCATTCCGGGCCCCTTTCGGGTGGCCCATATGACAGCAGGCTCTGAGGCCCGAACATCCTAAACTTCAAATATGCCCTGTAGGGACTGCCTGCAGGAGCTCGGGTCGCGAAGCGATGGCGTAGGCGGCCTCAGGCATCTTCTTGGGGGGCTCCAGCGGGTTGGCTTCAGTGTTTTAAGTGTGTCCATGAGGGCTACAGCTCATGGGTTTTGGGCTCGGGGTAAGACGACGGCTTCGGGTTGTCGGGCTTACAGGGTTGGCTTTTTGGGGTTCTGTTGGTACTGGCTCAGGTGGACTGCTCCACAGGGCGCCACAAACGGCTTACTTGCTGCGGTACGGAGTAGGTTCGCCGTACCTACTCCGACAATCCTATGCAACCACCGCTCGCCCAGCTTTTCTCTCCTTCGGGGCAAATCAAACCCTCAATTTGATTCAAGCCCTCACCCCACCAAAGGTCTTCGGGCTCTTAAGGTTTCGGGATGTTTCGCGTGTTCGAGCAGGGCACCTCTTCCGCCCCGCCGCAGAGTGAGACCAGTGTGGGCATGATCTTCCGGATCTGGGCTTCCTGGTAATTTCACGTGTTTCCTAGCAGATTCCTTGAGGGCTTGGTGAAGGGTTCTGGTGCTGACTGTATCCCATGCCACGCCATCACCATGTCAACAATGTCAAACTTCCCATGAGCCCCTATAAGTCTCCACCGTCTCCAAGGTTCGCTGACACGCAAGAGGCTGGGGTTGTTGTGCGTCGCCAGAACCGCCAGCCGCTCGCTGCGGAGGGCCCTGGCCAGCGCGGGAAGCGCCTGCTCGCCGGTTCGCGCCTTCTCCTCGGCAGCTTTTGTGGTGCTCGGAGATGACTGATGTTGCTACGTGGACTACACCTCTCAGAGACTTCCTGAGATTCTTCAACTTCTGGCTACGATTGGGAAGCTCGTGCGACACTTTTGAATCCAAGGACACACAAGATCACCCAAGCGTCCCACAGCAGCTGCGGCTGGCTCTTGGTAGCCTCGCAGAGGTGGTGCCGGGCCGCCACTGTGCCGGCCAGGCGCGTGAGGTTGTTCTCCGAGCGCGCGAGGCGGCCGGAGATGCCACCTCTGGTCTTTAGGGGCTCGTCTTCACAAGAGGGTTTCTGAAGGTTTTTCGGGTTGAGGCTGCTCTTACCACGCATACCGCGGTTTAGGGCTTGAGCCGCTTGGACCTCGCAGGAACCACATGATCAGCTTCGAGTTAGAAGCATTTAGAAGCTTAAAACCATCTTTAGGACGAAGCCTAAACCCTGCCCCACCTGTCTTCGCCAGGATCGGGGTGGAGGGTCTCTCCCGTTTGGGGCCGTCGTCCGAAAAAGGCTGGCTGGCAGACTTTCCCAGCTTGGGCGGCAGGGCCTTCACGGTTCCTGACGACTTGGGGTTTATCGGGTTTATCGGGTTTCCAGTATTTATAGGGTTTAATTACAGGGTTTGTAAGGGGACAGGGTTTAGGGTGTAGGAGTGTAGGAGTAGGGCTCATAGCCTGAAGTTCTTATTGGGGCTTGGGATGTTTAAGGTTTAGGGCGTAATTGCATGTTCACCAGGGGCATGAAAAGTTTTCCGCGTGGCCAAATACGGCTGAAACTGGCTTGCGTCCACATAGGGAAGGAGGGGAGCCTTTGCAACCAAAAAAACCGCTAAACCCCAAACCCTAAGTCCCAGACCTCCTATATAGGCTCTTGATCGCCCCCCAAGGTGTTCCCTAGATGCTTGCTGGCTTACTCTTTGGGGTGCGGGGGCTTTTGGGGGGTTGTTTGCAAAGGGATTCGAAGCAACGATGACAACAAACCCCCCGCCTACAGCGTTGAGCACCTCTGGGAGTTCACGGAACTGATACCTTGGCTCCCGTGCCGATACCTTGGGGCCTTTCTGGCCTGAATGCGCCACCTGCCTATAGCCAAAGGCTTATGTTTTTGCCACCGCAGCACACCCCTAAGCGTCAAGTACGAAGTAGAACTGAGACAAGAGAGCCAGCAACTGCAGCACTCAGAACCCGCCCCAGCTTAGGGTTTGAAGGTTGTTTCAAGCTTGCTGTTCCCACCCTCGCGGACCTGGGTCCGCACTGAGGGCGTGTGCTGGGCCCCAAAGTCCCGTCCCCCATACTCCATCCGCAAGCTCAACGAATCTGGACCTTTCTGGTATACTTCTCAAAAACCCTAAACCCTAAACCCTAAACCCTAAACCAGGGGCTATTTTGGGGGATTCCCCTCCTCATCCGGTTCCCTGCCACAGAAACCCCCAGGCTCCACACCCCAACACACCCCCTAAACCCTAAACCCTAAACCCTAAACCCTAAACCCTAAACCCTAAACCCTAAACCCTAAACCCTAAACCCTAAACCCTAAACCCTAAACCCTATAAACCCTAAACCCTAAACCCTATAAACCCTAAACCCTAAATTCCCAGAGCCCGAGGGGCTTCAGAGTCTTGCGCTCGTCGTTGCTCAGGTGGTGCGCCGACTCGACGAGGTGATGCGGATCGCAGCCCAAGAAGTCCTGGGGCTTGTAGGGTTTAGGGTTTAGGGTTTAGGGTTTTGGGTTTTGGGTTTTGGGTTTAGGCTTTAGGGTTTTGGGTTTTGGGTTTAGGGTTTAGGGTTTAGGGTTTAGGGTTTAGGGTTTAGATCATTGCGGACCCATCAGAAGCGATCAGCACTTGTGGTTGGCTTAGAAGCTGGGTTTAGAGTTTAGGGTTTAGGGCGTCGACTCTCAAACTCGCACACGGCAGGCAAAGATTCACACCACACCGCCCACCATTGGGGCTGAGGGTTGCGGGGCATTAAGCATAATCAACAATGAATATTCAGAATGACGATATTAGCAGCTATCATAATCATTATGCAGTTCATACAGATGATAATCGTAAACGGGCCTTGCACCGCTGTCCGCTCAGCTCCGCTTTGTCCTCCAGGGCCAACGCACGAACCGCCTGGCGAGGAGGGCTGCATCCCGAATCCTATACGTTCAGGGTTGAGCCCTTCCCAACAGGACCTTTAAACCATCATCCCCTGCACTCTTCATTTGCAGTTTTATCACCATAAACGCAAAAACCCTATCCGCCCTATAAACCCTTTAAGCCCTATAAACGCTATAAACCCGTTAAAGAAAAAGAAAACCTGTAAACCCTGTAAACCCCGTAAACCCCAAACCCCCCCCCCCCCCCCCCCCCCCACCGAAAAGGGCCTTCAGGTTCCCGAACTCCGCAGCTCGGAGGTAGGCCTCCCCAGCGTTTCATCGCTTTTCAGAGGTGAAGGGCCAAAAGGGCGATGTAAAAAGCGAGCAAGGTCTACTTCTTAATAGCGGGAAAGGTCTGCGGACGTTGATAGACACGTCATTATGTACCTGCATGCGTCTATCCACGGGTCTACTGTCGACTTAGCTTGCGCATGTTCGACTCGAACGAGTGTGTATACCTGTATATGCTCACGTATCATGTTCCATTCCGGGATTTAGTATTGAAGTTTCGGGCAGGTTACGGGGCGTGCTGCAGGCTCAGTGCCGCGTTCGCAGCACAATCTGTTTTGGGGTGTGGGGAATAGGCTTCTGGCCTCGGCGCGGGATGCTCCCTTGAAAAGGGTTCAGGGCTTCGGGTTTAGGGTTTAGGGTTTAGGGTTTAGGGTTTAGGGTTTAGGGTCGGGGGCATGCTGCCGTTGACAGTTTGGATGTGGGTATTCGACAGCCGATACCGTAGAAACAATAGGCCAGCACTGCCCAGAACGACCCGACCATCGCCCCCGCCCCTTTACTCAAGCCTCTTGGTTCCTAGGGTGGCTTCGGTACGAAGTCTTCAAGCCCTGAGCCGGAGACGCCACAGCGGCCAACCAGGCAAAACCCACGGAAGTTGAGCAAAACTCGGCACCCTTTTTTGATAGCCTGAAGCATTTCAGTAGTGTATATACGATAACGGAGACCAGCCCATGAAAAGCGCGACCCACAGTTTCAACCAACCCCCACAGAAAAACTTCCAGCTGCCAGTCGCGCCTGCGTGGCCAACTTATTCTTCCTGTGACAGGGTGGATGGGGTCCAGGGCTCATACTTGGAGGTTCACGGTACTTGCTAACCAATTATAACTGTACTTATATCCCTACTTATAATACCCCTAAAAGGCCTTATAGGGGTTATCCCAATTACATGTAGGGTTATAAGCCCAGTTATTAGTGGTTAGTAAGCACCATGAACCTCCAAGTAGACTTCAGGAAGGGCGTGAGGTTTGGAGTTGAGGTTTCAGACTGCTCCAGGAAGACTGGACACCACGGCTTCCCCCCACATGTGAACTCCACCAGCGTCCTGGCATTGAAGGGCGCCTCAGCCACCGTTTCTCTCATCCGTAGCTCTCTAGATTCCGGTCGTTGTTGCAGGGTGCCGTTTTTTTTTTATAGAAGACCTAAGAAGGGACCACATGACCTAGAAAAGTACCTCCATGGAGATCCAGCTTTAGGACTAGGCCTCTAAGGGGTGCGACGCCACTCGCGCACGGCAGGCAATGCCTTCGAGGGCTTAGGGGATTTAGGACTCAAGCATGTCGCGCCAAGTGCTGCCTTGGAACATAGAGGCTCCTTCGGAGGCCAATGCGCTCTTGCTGTGGTGTTATCGGCTCCGCGTGCATGCCTGCCAGGGAAAGAGCCAACATTCCCAAACCTACAATCCCTTCCTGGTGTCTCAGGACGTCTTGGTAGGGAATTAGGGAATTGGGTACCATGGAGCGCCCCCTCTACAACCGTGCAAGCGATCATGCAACCTGGTTTCCGATTTCCAAGAACCACGAGTATGCAAATGAGTGCGGTTTGTACATGCTATACTTCTTGGGGTAGCTCGCTCAGCCAAGGCCTGCAATGCCGGCATGGGCACCGGGGCACACACTTGACTTGTGCAGCCAAAATGGCTGAGAAACATAGCAGTAGCTGCATAGATCCAGAGACAAACGCGGCCAGGCAGATGGCCAATTAGAGGAACTGACGCACAAAACGCCTGGCCTGGACAGACAGACAGACAGCAGATGTACATCTGTGCGCAGGAGCCTGAGGCCGAAGCATTCTCCCTATCTGGTCCGGCATCACCCACTTGACCCCGTTGTTGGACGACACCTGCCCAGAAGCAAGAAAGCGAGAATCTCTCCACCACCGAAAGCCTGAACATCCCCCCAGCTTTATGTGGTCCACCTCGCACGAATCCGGCGCCTTTTGCGTGCGGTAACCGAAGCCCTGCCACAGCCCGGCCTTCACAGTGCCGGCCGGCACCCGGTATCCTTCTGCAGAGGTGTCTGACCTCTGATCTGATCAAGGAGGGCCAAAAAAAGATCCACACGCGCTTTTGCTGGCATCCGGCCTTCAAGCATCATATCTGATCTCTGCGTCGAACAGCTATACAGTGTGGACCCAGAATGTCTAGGAATCTCCCCCCCCCAAACCCCAACCCCCCTCCCAAAAAATTTCCCCAAAAACCACCAAGCTTCGGAGTCCCTGAATCTCGGGGGGGCTCAAGGTTTCTGGGTGCCATGGCGCGTAGGCTGCAAGGACCACTCCTGGCAGCCAGGCCTTCGCGAATTGTCTCCCTTTCTCTCACGTTCTTCCGGCTGAACGAAACCCTATTGAGTCCTAAAAGCCTGTAAACCCTACACCCCCCCCAACCCCCCCCCCCCCCCCTACAAACCCTATAAAGCCCATAAGCCCAAAGATCGATGCCTGTGTCGGCCTGAGATTCCCACATGTTTCTGAACCCAGGCTCTTTTTGCATCCAGGCCTGCTCAGCCTCTTGAAACCCTAAACCCTCCTAGCCTGCGCCCGCAGCCATCAAGCTCCTAAACCCTAAACCCTAAACCCTAAACCCTAAACCCTAAACCCTAAACCCTAAACCCTAAACCCTAAACCCTAAACCCTAAACCCCAAGCCTTCTTGGAGTCGCTCCACACTTCCAAGACCTGGCCCTCAGCAAATGTCGACCTTGGCACACGCAGCTGTGACTTCCATGGGTCTGCAGCCGGCAACATCATGCTTACTCGGTTTAGGGTTTAGGGTTTAGGGTTTAGGGTTTAGGGTTTAGGGTTTAGGGTTTAGGGTTTAGGGTTTAGGGTTTAGGGTTTAGGGTTTAGGGTTTAGGGTTTAGGGTTACTCGGTGCTTGGGCAATGTCGGACAACGGTCACGCAGGGAGAAGCGCAAAAAGGGCAAAAGAGTTCTCGACTTCTTCTGACAGTCGGTTGTAGAACGTATTCGGCCTTGGGGCTCAATCCAAAAGGCTTCAAAAGAGTCTTGAAGGAGACAAGGGGGCTGCGACCGATTTCCCCTGTCGAAATGGTGGCTTCGATTGGGCAACTCGAGTTCACATGGGGCCTGTGGGAACTAATCTACCCACGAAGTACAACGCACTCTCCCCTTTCTGAAAGTTTCAAGTGTTAGTGTTGACAAAGGTGCCTAGGCAAGTAGCATTTCAGGAACCTGGGGATTGCTGGAGCTTTGGGGGGGGTTTAGGGTTGAGGGTTTAGGGTTTAGGGTTTAGGGTTTAGGGTTTAGGGAGGGGGGGGGGGGCCTTCTTGTTTACGCCTGGGGCGCGAGCGACGGACTCAAGGGAGCCTGGATCGAACCGGGCAAGGTGCCATGTTCTGGCAGTGCCTCGCTTTTGGGTTTAGGGTTAGGGTTTCTGGCTTGGGAGTTTAGGAGTTTAGAAGTTTAGAGTTTAGGGTTTAGGGTTTAGGGTTTAGGGTTTAGGGTTTAGGGTTTAGGGTTTAGGGTTTAGGGTTTAGGGTTTAGGGTTTAGGGTTTAGGGTTTAGGGTTTAGGGTTTAGGGCTAAGGGTTCTGAGAAGGGCTCACAAGGGCTTAGAAGGGATTGAGGGATTTTGGGGGGGTGCTAGGCACTCAATCCTTTTTGCAGTAGGCTTCTGAAGATTCTCCGAGGGGGCAAGCCCAAAAACCGATAAGCCCAAACCTCCAACCCTAGTAAGGCCCCATAAACGAGATAGACCCTCAACCCCCAAAACAAAAAAAAAACCGAAATATTGCGATGTTCCCCCTTATACGAACAGTTCAGAACTCTACTAGGGGGTACTACAATCCCTATTATTTAGGACTGTTAGTATAAGGGGGTAACATCCCAACCTAGATATCGAGTGGGCTCTTCAGCCTTTTTGAGAGCTCAGGGCCCAGGCTGTGGGCCTCCGCTCGGGGATGGAGCCTGGCGATGAAGGCTTACAAGGTTTAGGGTTTAGGGTTTAGGGTTTAGGGTTTAGGGTTTAGGGTTTAGGGTTTAGGGTTTAGGGTTTAGGGTTTCGGGTTTAGGGGTTGCATGGATTGGGATTTAAGGTCGGATTTAGTTCTTAGGGATTGGGACTAGGGTCTCGGTTTTAGAGCTTAGGGTTTAGGGTTTGGGGTTCGGGTGTAGGGTTCTTAGTAGGGGGATTTTTGGGTCTCGGATTGAGGGTTTGGGGAATTGTGTGGTTTTGCAGGAATTGGGGCAAGTCGAAACCTAGCGAGCCTTTATGGGGACTGATCGGGTACTACCTTTAACGAACTGCGGTAGCCCCTCAACCCTCAGCCCTGGCTAGCGCTTCAAGCACCTCTGGTTACACAGCGATTGATTGTCATAGAACATGAAAAATCCTCCCTAAACCCTAAACCCTAAACCCTAAACCCTAAACCCTAAACCCTAAACCCTAAACCCTAAACCCTAAACCCTAAGTCAACCTCAGGCCCAAAGGGGTTGGAGTCTCTCGGTGAAGCAGCTGGGGTCTAGATGCCGAGTCTGGGGTCAAGATGGCGATCTTGGGCCGAATGCGGTAGGGGCCTCTATTTGGAGCGGGTGTCCTGGGGAACCAAAAAGGATCAGCAAGGGAAAGCATCAACACACTTTCAACTTTCAGGTAGCATTCAGCAACATGGGGCTGCGCGTGAGAATGTCAGCAACCTAGCTATCCAGGTGCGGAGGTTTAAGGTTTTGTTGCACTCCAGCTTGGTGCGGGACTCAGCGGATAGCCAGAACCCGCCGCGCGACCGGGAGCAGGAACAAAGCTCTCCTCAGCTAAACAGGGTTCAAGCGCTCAGCGCACGCAAAAACCCGGTTGGCATGCTTTCCGCAGCAGGACTCCGCACCACCGCCTCCAAAACCTTATGGGAACTCGTGTTTTTGGACCTGGATGCTTCTGAGGCTACCGGGGACTTCAGAGGGCTGGGGCCTTTGGTACCCCGGATTTGCGTAGAAGGGCGAGGGTTTGTAGGGTTTGTAGGGCATTGGGCTCAAGAGCTTTAGGACGGATGAGCGCTTGGCTTCCCAGTGCCTGACTCGACTCCCCGAGCACTTTTGTGTGCAGCAAAAATCTGTGCACCACAAAGCCCCTTGTTCTTTCAAGCTGTTCATGTGCACCCTCGACCCTTCTACACACGCCTGCTTCAACCCTAAACCCTGAACCTGCCTCAACCCTAAACCCTGAACCTGCAACCCAAACCTCACGCCATCCAAACTTGGCCAGCAGAAGGTCCATCGAGCTGTATCCGGATTGCGCCACAGCCGCAGCCGGGTGTGGGACAAACCTGTTGAGCGTCATGCCAGCCGACTGAAAGGGCCTAGTTTCATGAGTTTGGCGAACTCGGTTGTTTGGAAGCATGAGAGCAGGAGCTGTAAGGGCATCCGCGCAAGCGTAGGTCATCAAGACAATGGCACCGGGAGCATACCCTTCAGTGTATCAAACCGCCGAACCCCAGAAATTAGCGGTCCCATGGATCGATGCAGGGGCATATGGCTGGGTCAGAAGCTATGGTTTCGCAACCTATCCAGCCATAACTCCGATTTCATGTGAGGATAACCCTCAATGGAATGTATACCTCTCAAGCACAGGCACATGCCACCCACGAAAAGTCTCAGTTGTCCAGTACCTAGGGGTTTTAAAGGTTAACCTTTGGGAATATAAGGGGAATATATTAACCCTTAACCCTAAACCCTAAACCCTAAACCCTAAACCCTAAACCGTCTAAGAAGTCCCCGTGCCATTTGCCCAGGTCCATCAAGTCACCAGGGGGGGGGGCCGATTCTCCTGCAAACCGAGCCACTCCGAGCTTTGCATGCCTTGGCTTCAGGGTTTAGGGTTTAGGGTTTAGGGTTTAGGGTTTAGGTTTTAGGTTTGAGGGTTTAGGGTTTAGGGTTTAGGGTTTAGGGTTTAGGGTTTAGGGTTTAGGGTTCAGGGTTCAGGGTTTAGGGTTCCTCCCGTAGCCACACGCCCCCATGCCACCGAGGGGCCGGAGTAAGTACTAGCAGTTGGTGGAAGGGCTCCACCTCAACGCTCCAAAGGAGCAAGCAGGCTACACATTACCTGTCCCAGCTTCAGGTTCGCCATAAGGCGCCCAAGGCAGAGTTCCTTTCCACATAATATAGGGGCCTGAAAAATTCGACTGGGGTTTGGGGCGTTAGTAGAGTATATTAATACAGGGACCCTAAGGGCATACTATTAGTAAATACTCCGACCCCTATATTACTTCCGGACATGCGGCGTGCCGTCGAGGGGCCGGAGCAGGTACTAGCGGTTGGGGGAAGGAGCCCGCCAATACCTCGGAACTGCAACTCAAAGGGGCAAACGAGAGCCGCATTTCGGGAAGCCAGCGAGGAAATCTTTCAGCAATGGTGGCCACACTAGCTTTTTTTTGCCATGCATTTGGCACGTTCTGCACATTCCCGGCTCGGTTTGTTCATTCAAACGTGGCCATTCGGCCAGCCTGTCTATGCAGTGCTCGCCTCGTGCCACCTGCGTCTTGGCCGGGCAAAACAGCCCCACATCCCCAACTTGCCGTATCTTACCTTACGGTCCAGGGGCCAAGGAAGAAGAGGGTCCTGCGTCCGGGGCTTGCTGTTGACGAACGTCCCCCCTCCCTCCTTCACGGTCCTAGTGTCCCGGAGTCTCGTTGGTCTCCGAAACGAATCCTGAGTCTGTCAACTTCGGCGGCACTGTTGCACTGTCGATGAAATCGAACCCGAACATGAACCAGCTTTTCGCAACTCGTCAAAGTTGGAGACAGAAGTAGACCCACACCCCAACACCACGACTGCACGCCCACCGAAATCTATGTATTCTCCGCCAATAGACGGGAAGCGGGGGCCCGCTTCTTCTCCCAGCCACTGGTCAGGTCTTACGGTGTCTTCGGGTCTTAGAATTTCGGGTTTCTTCTGTTACCCTAAACCCTAAACCCTAAACCCTAAACCCTAAACCCTGAACACTGAACCCTAAACCAGAGAGTTGGGGGTCTTGGCTAGGGCTAAGGTTCCAGTGCCCCAACCAGGGCGGGCTCTAAGGGGCTCCCATGCATCCTCAGGGAAGGCCCCGAAGCGCGGATGGCGAAGGGTTTGGGGCTTAGGGGATTTTAGGGTTTGGGGTTTAGGGTTTAGGGTTAGGGTTTAGGGTTTAGGGTTTAGGGTTTAGGGTTTAGGGTTTAGGGTTTAGGGTTTAGGGTTTAGGGTTTATGGTTTAGGTTTAGGGTTTAGGGTTTAGGGTTTAGGGTTTAGGGTTTAGGGTTTAGGGTTTAGGGTTTAGGGTTTAGGGTTTAGGGTTTAGGGTTTAGGGTTTAGGGTTTAGGGTTTAGGGTTTAGGGTTTAACTTGTTTAAAGGCGTATAGGGTTTATAAGTTTACTTGCTGGCTCTCCGTAGCTCCCTGAAGTTGGAATCAAGATTTAGGGCTTAAGATTTTGTTTTCTTGGGGGGGGGCCACACCTCGGCTGCCTCCTGGGCCTCTTCTGTGCCTAGGGGTATGGCAGTCTTCCAAAAAGTTGGCGGAACCTAGCGCAAACTCGGGTATTGCCGCGTGAATTGGTGTAGCTTCCAGAGCTCACTGGCCGGCAAGCTCATCCGACAATATGTCAGTGCGGTAACTTCTGCTAGCTGGCGCGAAAGCTGCACGCTGAAGGGTGATACATCTACTGGACGAAACTTCGGGCTCAAACCGTCGTAGGGCCCGCTGAGCCGCTGACTGCAAAGTTCACTCATAGCTCACAAGCCGTGGACCGCAGCTTTTTCAACCCTAAACCCTACGTTTAACCACGGAACCCTAAACTCTCAACCCTAGACACCCTAGTGCGAACCCACCCTAAGCCCTGAAGCTTTCGGTACCCAAGCCTCGGCTTATTCGAGGCCAAGCACGTACCCGAAAATACTAGAGTCCGCCCTTCTAGAAGACCCCCCCCAAAACCATTTGGGCCTAAAAAGCCCATGTCTTCCGAGGACCGTCGGATGTGTTGTTGTTGCCATCTTGAAGGGAAAGGACGCTTGCCTAGCTGCTGAAAGTTTTGGGAAGGCTGATCAAGACAATGGCTCTAGTTCGCCGGCTCTGTTTCCTTATCCATCTCTCCCTCTCTCTCTATCTATCTCTCTCTCTCTCTCTGAAGCTCTATGTGCGCTGTTTGGTCGGTCGTACTTGCCTCCAACTCTATCTTTATCCAATGCGGCTACGAAATGTTGAGCCCTACACCCGCAGCCTACCCTACACCCGCAGCCTACGAATCAGTCAGGGTAGCATCTCCTTCCTGCACACAGGACACCTCGGCTTCCCAAAGAGAGAGGCCCCGGGAAGGATCAGGCTATCATGGGGGCTCCAGGCTGAGGATTCCGATTCAAGCCCTTACCAATGATATGGCCTCTATCAATGTTCCCACCCAAGCTTTAACGAACATGCTCCAGCCAAATATATCGGGGTTTAGCTGACCCTCTGTTGCCACTGCCGCAGGGGGGGTACATCCACCCCGCCAAAGCCCGAAACCCTGAACCGCGAAAACCCCCTGAGGCCACTGGCTGCGCAGGCCTCAAGGGGACGACTGCCACACCTCGTGCCATGTGTTCGGCGAAACACAACTTGATCTCAAATTGCAGGTCTGTTCGGACACATGGCATGAAACACAAGAACTGAGAAAACTTTCATAAGCTCTACCATCCTTCGGAATCACATGAATAGCACTCAATGCTCTGAATGTCGTCATGAACTGAACCAATCAGCACTCAACCCCGACACAGCTCGAAGTCGGCCAGCTGCCAATTCAGGTTTCTAGAGCCCTGACCCTGCAGCTCGCGGTTCAATCCCCTCCTGCCTTACCTTTGTGTCTACCTATGTCCACCTTCGCCGAGGGGGAAGGAAGAGGGCTGCCCTAAACTCCTAAACCTTGTTAATAATCCAAAAACCCTATAAACCCCGTAACAACCCCATAATCCCCATAAACCCTCAAACCCTACAGTCTCTGACCCAAAACCCTATAAATCCGCATCCTCAACCCTAACCCCTACCCTAAACCCAATGAGCCCTGTCCTACGTCCCAGAGCCATAACCCGAATTCTTAGAACAATTTCCCTAAACCGCCACAGTCACATCCAAGGCCCCGACATCCGGAGGATTGGGGTGCCCTGGGTTTAGGGTTTAGGGTTTAGGGTTTAGTTTAGGGTTTAGGGTTTAGGGTTCCGGGTTTCGGGGTTTCAGGAAGCCTGAGGACTTGCGGTGTAGGGCGTTTAGGAATTGGGGTTTTTTGCCACCCGCGCCGCAGAGCGCCAGGGCGCCACTCTGCGGGCACTCGCCGTGGTTACTCGTGCTATACGGGCAGAGAGTACGAAAAACTCGAATCGTCGTATCAAGTGCGGAGGCCGGCCGGCCGGTTTAGGACCAATTTGCACGGTTTCTACATGAACTTGTCGTAGCGGGCTTCATGGCAGATTATGCGGCGTGTCCATCTTCTCATCCATGAAGCCGACAGCCATCCCAGCCAAGAGGAGACCAACAAAGGGTGACCCTGCAACGCGAAATTGACCAGAACACTGAGGACAGGAGCATAAAAGAAGTGCCAACGAACTGCGACGCAATCAGGAGTACGCACATTTGAGATACCGACATAACACAGCAAAGGTCTGCTAGGTTGACCCGACAATCCTGGCTCGGGGCCAACACTATGACGTGGCAGGCTGCCAGCAGACCTTCTACGAGTTGTCAAAATCATGTACTAGCACCAAAATCCATGCTCAGCAACAGGAGTCGTACGAACAAAGCACAAAAGACCAGGCGCCTTTGAATTTTGCGCACAGAGCTCTGCAAGCCCGGGCACCCCGGCTCCAGAGCCGGGCTGCCAAGAAGATTCATGCTTCAGGTCAGCCGCCCCTTGAATGAAAGACTGGAGCGCTTTCCAGACCTTCTTCCATGAGCGCAAGGCGATATCGAGCCTTGGGCGCCTCCTGCGTGGCTTGCGGATCTGCCGCGTCCGGCCGCCATGTCTCCTCGTCCACCTGCCTCGTCGGAAGGCTGATCGGGATGTGGAAGAGTTCTGGCTGTGGCTTTGCCTCAAAAAAACCTGGCAGCGTCAGAGCTTGCCGGACGTGTGTCTGGCAATAGGGTGCCAGCAGCGTCAGTGTGACCTGTAGGTCGATGGCTCCACTGACAGGGGCCTGACTGCTTCCGGCAACGCCAGCAGTGCCAGGCCATACACGCAGCATCCTGTAAATCGATCCGCTGCCTCCGGCAATGCCTGCAACGCCAGGCCATGGATCAGAGACATCCTGTTCCCGTACCATCTGGGGACCCATTGAAGATCCAAGGCACGGCAGTAGAACAGTGCCGCTGGCCGATCAAAATAGGTACACAAGCGAGACTAAGAAACAAAGGAAATACAAGCGAGAATACATCCGCCCAAAATCCAATTGTGACTGGCCTTGCTCCACTGGAACTCCCGTGCCACAAGCCCGTGACCTTCTTCCCAAAGCTTGCCATCTGCCTCGACAACGACGTGTGAGGGTTGCCACTTGCCTTCCTGCAATCGGGCCAGGAACTCGGCCAATGCTTTGGGCAGCAAGCCAGGAACTCGGCCATGCTTTGGGCAGCAAGCGAGGTTTCAGAGTTGAGCAAGCAAAGCCGGGGGCCGGCAGCGATCAAACAATAAAGTGCAGGCAGGTGACATTTCCATGTCGGTCTGACCCGCCCGCCGTGCAAGATCACTGATGCTGCCAGGAACTTGTTGACTTGTTGCTTTGCATTCGTTCGCTTCCTTTGCGACCTTTCGAGTCAGAGACCATGCCCGGCCCCATGCGGAGGTAGAGACCCAACGCACCTCTGGTCAAGACTCTGTGTGTGGCGCTCAAGAATGCCCAAGAGCGAGCCAGTCCAGCCAGAAACTTGAGGCTTGTGGCTTGAGCCAAAATGGGGTTGGGATGGGTTGGTTGGGGTTTAGGGTGTTGGGTTTAGGTTATAGGGTAAGCTTGTTGTGGCGTTTAAGCTAGTATCAGTCGCGCGAGTAGCAACAACAGGCTCCTGAAACCTCGGGAGTAGGTGTGCAGCGACTGCCACCACTGTGCCGGCGACAAACAAGCAACAGCGGCCACAACCACAAGTTCCGTTACAACAATACCGGATTCTACGAAGTGGGGGGGGGGGGGGTCTAAGAGTCTAAGGGCGAATTTCGACTCTCAAATCCTAAAGTACCTCAAACCAAAAAACATTTCACTTCTGGCCCGAGCATCATTGGAGGCGCCATGGCGGTGGTGCTCGACATCGTGTGCGTCTGATGATTCAGGTATGCTGTTACGCAGGCCTTG